AGCTGCTGAATGAGCTTAACAAGCTAAAGCTGCTGAACGAGCTTAACAAGCTGGAGCTGCCAAACGAGCTTAACGAGCTGAAGCTGCTGAACGAGCTAAAGCTGCTGAATGAGCTTAACAAGCTAAAGCTGCTGAACGAGCTGAAGCTGCTGAACAAGCTGAAGCTGCTGAACAAGCTTAACGAGATGAAGCTGCTGAACAAGCTGAAGCTGTTGAATGAAGCTGCTGAACGAGCTGAAGCTGCTGAACAAGCTTAACAAGCTGAAGCTGCTGAACGAGCTTAACGAGATGAAGCTGCTGAACGAGCTGAAGCTGCTAAACAAGCTGAAGCTGCTGAATGAGCTTAACAAGCTAAAGCTGCTGAATGAGCTGAAGCTGCTGAACGAACTGAAGCTGCTGAATGAGCTTAACAAGCTAAAGCTGCTGAATGAGCTTAACAAGTTGAAGCTGCTGAACGAGCTTAACGAGCTGAAGCTACTGAACGAGCTGAAGCTGCTGAATGAGCTTAACAAGTGAAAGCTGCTGAACGAGCTGAAGCTGCTGAACAAGCTTAACGAGATTAAGCTGCTGAACGAGCTGAAGCTGCTGAATGAAGCTGCTGAACAAGCTGAAGCTGCTGAACAAGCTGAAGCTGCTGAATGAGCTTAACAAGCTAAAGCTGCTGAATGAGCTGAAGCTGCTGAACAAGCTGAAGCTGCTGAACGAGCTGAAGCTGCTGAATGAGCTGAACTGCTGAATGAGCTTAACAAGCTGAAGTTGCTGAACAAGGTTAACGAGCTGAAGCTGCAGAACGAGCTGAAGCTGCCGAATGAGCTGAAGCTGCGGAACGAGCTTAACGAGCTGAAGCTGCGGAACGAGCTTAACGAGCTGAAGCTGCTGAACGAGCTTAACGAGTTGAAGTTGCTGAATGAGCTGAAGCTGCTGAACAAGCTGAAGCTGCTGAACAAGCTGAAGCTGCTGAATGAGCTGAAGCTCACTTAAAATACATCAACAGCTGAAAAGTAGAACGTAGCTGAAAGGGGCAGATAAAAGCTGAAATGATCAAATAAGTACAAAAAGTTGGACCTAGCCGAAAGAAGCTAAAATAAGCAGCAACATGCTGAAATTAGAAATGGCTGAAAGGAGCGTAAAAAACCTGAATTAGGATTAAAAGCCAAAAGGAGCAAAACACAGCTAAAATTAGAATAAAATGAGCTGGAAGAAGCTGAAAAAACAAAAGTTGAAATTAGCAGAAAGGAAGTGAAAGGAGCTCATTTAAACAGAAACGAGGTGAAAAGATGAAACTAGCAGGGTGCCCGGGGAGCAGAGGGTGGGGGTTAAGGGCCTTGCTCAGGGGCCCAGAGGGGCCAGTAGCAGGTGCTTCACCTAGTCCCACTCACATGTTGATTTTGTGGGTCAGGGAAGTTGAACCAGCGAGCTTCTGTGGGAGCGCTGGCCTGCCTCTGCACCACCACTCCCCTAAAGCTCAACATTCCAAAGAGTCCAACGTCCGGACTGAGCAGAACCTTTTGAGTCATGAATTGTTGAGGTAGAACAAAGATGGAGGAACAAGACTTTCAGATGATGAAGTCCACCTGAACCACGCTGAGACCCGGCTGAGACGCACCAGAATCATAACTTTGAGTCAAGTTGTCTACGTGTAAGTCATATTTGTTAAAATTCATTTTGTCTCAGGCGTCCGTCTGGACGTCCTCACCGTGACGCCTTGGAACTGCTCGTTCTTCACGGCCTCCAGCAGCATCTTCACCTCCTCTTCCTCGCTCACTGTCACGTTCCTCGCAGCGCCGTACTTCTCCCGGACCTTCAGCGCCTCCATCACCCGACTCAGAGCTCTGGCGGCGACCCAGATGGCGTCATAGGCAAAGGCGTGGAGCGGGTTGACCTTTGACCCCTGATGGACCAGCTGTCTGCGGTACGAGTCCCGGTAGTTCTGAGGAGTCTGTGGAGGAGGTTGCTATTATTCATGCTGTGGTTCTGTTCAACCAGAACCACCATCGTGTTGTTGAGACAAACACAGTAAAGGTTCTGACCCGGCCCGAGACGCCAGGAGAGGTTGAGGCGCTGAAGTGTCGGATCTGCAGCCTGAAGGACCCGTGTGCCGCCATCAGCAGGCTGTCAGCTGAACAAGCGGACGGCTGCCACCCCAACCTCCATCCAGCTGCCAGGATCCACTGGTACCGAGGTCCGAACAGGTTCAGCCTGTAGGCCTGGACATCACACAGAACCTCACCGTTACTGACTCCAGAACTCTATTCTGCAGTGTTTGCATCGTTTGACCAAAGATCACACGTTCTGATGAGATTCTGCGGATCAGAACCTGAAAGGACTGAGCCGAGTTCAAAACTTCACGTTTTAGGATTTTTAAAGGCTTTTACAGTAAATTGATCCTCCTTTAGGGACCCAACCCAAGTGAAATAGAGACTTGTTTAATCGTTTATTTATTTATTTATGATTAAATTAGATTTTTGACACATTTACACACAGTTACAAATGGAAAGAAATGAAAAGTTAAAACATGATTAAACTTCATGTGAAGCCCAAGATGTTCCACGTCCATTTCAAACTACAAAGTTCCTCTGAGAGCAGTTTATGAAAGTCCTGCATGAAGAGGTTTAGTTACTTATTTTTCACTTTTGGCGCCTCGTTTCTGTATTTTTGTTGCGTGCTTTGAATAAATCAAGTTTATGTTAGTTTTGGGGCTCCAAGCCCGACTCCGCTCGCTTTAGACGTGTAAATTACAGCCCAACAGAACCTGAGAGAACCGTGCTGCTGTTCCGTGTGTTTCGCACTGTTAGTGACTGGCGTAGATCTTAGTTTATATTTTAGATCCTTATTTACTGCTTCTTTTTCCATTTTATATTTTTGATATTGTTGGAGGCAGCATGGAGGAGCAACTGGTAGAGCTGCTGCCTCTCAGCGAGCAGGTCCCTGGTTCAAATCCCAGTCCAGGAGCCTTTCTGGGTGGAGTTTGCATGTTCTCTCCGTGCTGCGTGGGTTTTCTCCGGGTGTTCCGGTTTCCTCCCACAGATCAAAAACATGCATGTTAGACTGATGGTAACTCTAAATTGTCCCTAGGTGAGAGAGAGAGAGAATGTTTGTTTGTCTCATTTGTCTCTATGTGTCCCTGTGATGGACTGGAGACCTGTCCAGGGTGTCCCCCGCCCCTCGCACAGTGATTGCTGCACATGGGCACCGGCGACCCCCGTGACCCCAAAATGGAATAAACGGGTAAAGATGATGGATGGATGGATATTGTTGGATGTAACTGGGACCCTGTGTACACAATTTCATTCCACCTCATGTATCACATGTGATGAAAATAACAACAAAGAACCTTGAATCTTGAATCCTTGAAGAGAAGGACTGCTTGAGATGTAAGTGGGTAAATTATCTAACAAGAATTTAGGAGCAAACAGCAACAAGAACATTTTATTTCTGTGTTCTGAGGAGATCCGTCTTAAAAAGTCCAGGTGCTGCAACTGGATGAACTGGCTCCAGTATTCTAAGAAGAAATGGACAAATAAACTGTCCTGCTGTCCTTGGGTCAAAACGACCCACAAGGCAGAATTTAAATAAAAAAAAAAGAAGCTTCGCGGCCACTTTTGACCCAAGGACAGCAGGAGGGTAAATAAACCGGAATTGAACTGCAGCGACTGTTTTCCTCCAGGAGGGGGCGCTGTGTTCGTTCTGCGCTTGCGCAAATCGATCGTGCGCCCTACCGCTTTATGAAGACTTTCTTGGAATATTTTACAACAAAAACGTTTCAAAACATCCGTTAAAGTGAAACCTCAGCTATTTAAAACCTATTTTAACAAGTTAAACTCCTCCTGCAGTCTAACCATATGAGGAACGGGATTGTTTCTGTCGAGTTTTGTGATTTTGGAATCTACTGTGAGTGTTGGTTGCTAACTGTTGCTAACTGTTGCTAACCGTTGCTAACCGTTGCTAACTGTTGCTAACCGTTGTTAACCGTTGCTAACTGTTGCTAACCGTTGCTAACTGTTGCTAACCGTCGCTAACTTTTGCTAACCTTTGCTAACTGTTGCTAACCGTTGTTAACCGTTGCTAACTGTTGCTAACTGTTGCTAACTGTTGCTAACCGTTGCTAACTGTTGCTAACCGTTGCTAACTTTTGCTAACCGTTGCTAACTGTTGCTAACCGTTGCTAACCGTTGCTAACTGTTGCTAACTGTTGCTAACCGTTGTTAACCGTTGCTAACTGTTGCTAACTGTTGCTAACCGTTGCTAACTTTTGCTAACCGTCGCTAACTGTTGCTAACCGTTGCTAACTGTTGCTAACTGTTGCTAACCGTTGCTAACCGTTGCTAACTGTTGCTAACCGTTGCTAACCATTGCTAACCGTTGCTAACCGTTGCTAACCGTTGCTAACCGATGCTAACTGTTGCTAACCGTTGCTAACCGTTGCTAACTGTTGCTAACCGTTGCTAACCGTTGCTAACCGTTGCTAACCGTTGCTAACTGTTCCTAACTGTTGCTAACCGTTGCTAACTGTTGCTAACCGTTACTAACTGTTGCTAACCGTTGCTAACCGTTGCTAACTGTTGCTAATTGTTGCTAACGCCATTTTGAATAAAGATGGCATCAAAGTTATTTAACTTAAAAAAGAGATTTATTTATAAAAACAAACAACCGCTTGTTCTACTTTATGACATGTTTTGTTTAATTTGTGACTTTGCATTTATACAAACATTACACTTAATAAAAGTTATTTAATTAAACACGTTTAAACAGTTTGTTAGTATGTACAGATTTATGTTGAATAAGAACATTTTAAAAACAAAGTTATTAATTTTTGGTCTATAAATTAGTTGTGTTGAGATACAACAGCCGTCATGAATTATAAGCAGTTTTTTTTGTTTGCATTTTATTCTTAGGTAAATTTTATTAGAATATTCTGCAAAGTTGAAATGAAGTAAACTGGATCTCATACGAAAGGAGAATTTATTAACTTATGGTTCTGATTTATTTGTGCAGGTTGATTTTCCTTTGATCGTGTTAAACCTGAAGCTCCTGCTGGAGAGCCTGGTCCAGAGTCGGACCTTTCAGGTTCTGGTCAGCGATAAGAACTCATCGGTTCAGGTAGGAGATCTCAACTTCTCAATAAATAGTTCTACAAAAAGAAAAAGACTCTTTTGACTGTCATTAATTTATAAAGGTGCTCCACTTGGTTTTATTCACAAATGATGGAAGCAGTTAATACGTGTTCAACGTGTTATAAGTTTTTTATGGGGCGCTGCTCTTCAGAAGAACTTCATTGTGGTTTTAGTGCTTGGAGAAGTTCTGCTCAGGTTTGATCTGGACCTGTTTGGGTTTTTGAGGATATTTATAATCATCTCTGGAGCCAAAACGAGGTGAACGTGTCACTCACGCAGCAGAACACCTCGGACGCTGAATCCTCTTCAAACTGCCCGATGATGATCCGAACATCTCGATCCTGTAACGTAAGAAGAAGAAGATGGTCTGGAACCAGAACCTAGTGGACCTGGACCACGTGCTGGTTCCTAGTACCTTCAGCTCCTTCAAGCGGCTGCAGGCGTCTTCAGAGAAGGTTTCTGTGGCAGCGAGCTGAACGTCGGCCTTCAGCAGCTGTCGGATCAGATCCTTCTTCATCTGCAGGGACACGGGTCAGAACACCCCACAGGATGTAAGACAGGCAGACGGACAGAGAGACAGATGAACAGAGAGACAGATGGACAGACAGACACACACACAGGTGGGCTTCCATCAAACTGAGGATTATTTTACCTTCAGCTGGAAAACATTTTCTTCTACAACAGCTGAACAACGGCTGAAAGTGAGCTGCTAAAGCTAGAAGCAGCTAAACACGAGCTGAAAGGTAAGGTAGCTAAAAATAGCAGCAACTCTTCAGTTTTGATTAAAGCAGATTTTAAAAGTAAAGCAGGAATCCTGATGAGTGCATATCGCCTGCCTCTGCCTGCTGTTAGTGCTCCCGCTCTGTGGTGGGGATGACTCTCAGCTACCACCACACCAGACTTCAGCTCAGCATCTGTAAACCGACGGTCTTTGCTCAGGCAGAGTAGCTGCGGTGGCCATCTTGAATCAGGCTGATGTTCTGTTGATACAATAATCAGTTTTTGGAAGTTTTATAATGTTCATGCGATATTTTGCTAACAGAGAGACATGGAAAGCTACAGGTAGTGTTGTAGCATTTGAGACAGGTCTTGGTCTTGAGATCGGTCTCAAGACCACTTTCTGATGGTCTCGGTCTTGGACATTGAGGACTCTGGATTTTATTTCAAGACCAGTCAAGACCACAACTGGAAACATCACTAAACTGCCAGAATATTGTTTATTTGTCAACATCTTTGTTTTGACTGGATGTAAAACGTTCTGATAACGTGACGCATTGATAAATACATGTTTTTGTTATCGCTGCCACGCCCACCACCGTTCACTCGCATGAGGTTCTGTACCAACAGAACAATACGGACAACAGAACGTAACGTCGCAACCAGGGGTGAAAGTAAGCCGGTCCGGTCCAGTACTGTGTACCACTAAAAGCTTCTGCACCAGTACGCAGTAACTGGAAGAGAGGAGAGCGTCTGTCTGCTGTCAATCATTCAGAACCAGTCACTTTGGGTCAGAATAGATGCGCTAACAATAATCAGTCTAAAACACGACTTAATCAGTTAATAAATTGTTTTTTTTTCTCATTTCAAATTGTTTCTGAACTGTTCGTGCTGGAGCCTCGTTTCTCTACCGTTAGTTTTATAAAAGTTACATATGTTTTTTTTATACATATTTGTTAAAACTGTCACTGTGTCGTGACAATATAAGACAATCTGTGAAAAGATTGAGCTCCAAGACCTGAGGTCTTGGTCTCAGACCCCAAAAGTCTTGGTCTTGTCTCGGTCTCGGTGGTCTTGACTACAACACTGACTACAGGATCACCCTCTGTGAGGTGATGATTTATAAAACTGGTTTTTCGTCTGCCTCTGGTCTTGGGGGTCGGGTCTCTGCTTCTTCACAGTTACTAATAAATGTTCTATTAGAGAAGCCTTATACACTTATGCATGCTCACAACCACACACAAATAGAAGCAGGGATGTTTATGTAGGCTTTATATGTAGATATATAGATATGTATATGAATGTATATTCATGTGTATGTATGTATGTATGTATGTATATAGGCGTAGGTATGGGTATATATATTTATGGAAACTTACTGCAAAGCCATGAATATTTTAAGTTCTTTATACATATGTATTTTGTTGCTGTGTTTTGTCATGTTCTTTGCAGGTGAACAGACAGTGGCCGGGTGTTTTGCCGTGTGCTCTCTTTGTGTATATTTCTTATATTTTGGAGTCTTACTTTGTCTTTTCTTTCTTTCTATCCTATTAAAAAAAAACAAAAAACAAAACCTACACTAGATAGTCACTATAATAAATATTTCATAATAATGGTGTGGAGAGGATGGCTGTAAGGGGAGAAGGGAGGCCATCAAAAAAAAATAAAAAAATAAAACTGGTTTGGTCACATGACCAGGTTTCTGTCACCTCAGCCAGTCTTGGACCGTCTCCGCTGATCACCCCGACTCTCCTCCACCTGTACCGCTGCAGCAGCTTCACCACCGCCTGGTTCAGGGTTCGGACCGACGGCACTGTGCTAAACAGGTTCTTGGACCACTTCTTGTTGGACAGGCTGGGGGGCGGAGCCACGAAGGACACCTGTGACATCAGAGGAAAATGAAACCAGGAGCTGACCTTGAACCGTGCAGGAATCTGATGAAGAGGACGGATGATGCACCTGGACCAGGCTGAGAGCCGGCAGCGCACGAGCGATGAGCGCCGCCACAGGTGGACACGCCCCTCCGATCATCAGCAGGTACCTGGGCCCCGCCCACATGGTGTCAAACAGGACTCTGAGGGCCGCAGCAGGGTCACACTGAAGAAGCAACGCATAAAAACCCCTGAAACTCTTCATCAGCTGCTCCTCATCGTCAGGAAGGCTTCGGCTGTTGAGCCTTTGAAGCATGAATGCATGTCGCCCGCCGCCTGCCAGAAGTCAACATGGCTGCCGCAGCGTGTTGAGCAACAACCACTTTTTGTGTTCGCAGATTAGTCACTGGATTTATGAACTCTTTAAAACCCGTTTATATTTTTATGTTTTCATCTTTTTGATAATTTGCTGCTTGAACATTAAAACTTGACGTGCAGGAAAATAAAAACTTTGATTCTGTTCGTCAAAATAAATAAAGCAGAAAAATCATTATCACAGAAAGTAAAACAACTTCAGACTAAAAATATTAAAATTACAAAAACAACTAAATGAAAGTTGATCACTTTGACTCCAACAGAACCAAAAGTGGAGCAGATGGTTCTTCAGCACCGACCCACCTGAGAGTCCAGCAGCTGCAGCTGGATCTCATAGTTCCCCAGCGGTTCTGGTTGTTCCTGCAGGTCCTGCAGAGCCATTCTGACTGCTGGAACCAGTCCTGCGCTCAGGTTCTCCCTCCCCGACGCAGAACTGACCGGCATCATCCACAGAACAGGCACAGGATGCCTAACCCGGGTCAGAACCAGCACGACTGGGAGAGCGCTAATCAGCAGCAGCATTATCACCCCCTGAATGTGTCCAAACCGAGCCATCCTGCGGTCCGACTGCAGAACCTCTGATCCCCTGCAGAACCTGCGGTCCGACTGCAGAGACCTACAGTAATCCTTTTGAGCCTTAAGCAGCTGAGGACTGAGGAGACCCGCGGAGGAGATAAACGGATCAGCAGCAGAACCAGATGTCACCAGGAACCATGAAAACATGAACATAACAAACCGTGGAGCTTTTTTACTTTATAATAATTATAATCTGAACTGTGGATTAACGTGGTTCTGAGTTCAGTCCCAAAACAAACAGATCAAAGTTCTGACTTCTGCAGTTAATCTTCATGTTTGTATAAAATAATAAATAATAAATCTTCTGTGCTCGTCACACACAGCTGCTTGAAAGTTTGTGAACTCTTTATAATTTTCCATATTTCTGCATCAATGAGCTAAAACATGATCAGATTTTCACACAACTTCTAAAAGTAGATGAAGAGAACCCGTTAAACAAATGAGACAAAAGATTATACTTTGTCATTTATTTATTTTCATTCAACCTTTATTTCTACAGGTTGAGGCTCGAGGACTCGTTTACAAGAGAGACCTGGTTTAACAAAGAGCAGATGAGGCACAGACAGTAATAGACAATCATATAAAACACATAAAATGAAAATAAATAGAAGAAATGAAATAAAAACAAATAAAACAGCTACATTGTAAAGATGTAAAATTCTAAAAACAGGAACATGTCTGTTGGTCATCACAAAAGTGAGGAAAATGATCCGACATTACATATTTGTGAGTGGTAAAAGTTTGTGAACCTCTGGGATTATCAGTTAATTTGAAGGTGAAATTAGAGTCAGGTGTTTTCAATCAATGGGATGATGATCAGGTGTGAGTGGGCACCTGTTTGATTTAAAGAACAGGATCTATCAAAGTTATGGTCTATGGCCATGGTCTTGAGCCGGAAAAGTGTAGAGTGCCCTCTCCGGGTCAGGGAGGAGGTCCTGCCCCAAGTGGAGGAGTTCAAGTATCTTGGGGTCTTGTTCACGAATGAGGGAAAAATGGAGCGTGAGATCGATAGGTGGATAGGTGCAGCGTCTGCAGTGAAGCGGGCGCTGCACCGGTCTGTCGTGGTGAAGAGAGAGCTGAGTCAAAAGGCGAAGCTCTCAATTTACCGGTCGATCTACGTTCCTACCCTCGTCTATGGTCACGAGCTTTGGGTTGTGACCGAAAGAACGAGATCTGGGATACAAGCGGCCGAAATGAGTTTTCTCCGCAGGGTGTCTGGGCTCTCCCTTAGAGACAGGGTGAGAAGCTCAGTCATCCGGGAGGGACTCGGAGTAGAGCCGCTGCTTCTCCACGTCGAGAGGAGCCAGTTGAGGTGTCTCGGGCATCTGTTTAGGATGCCTTCTGGACGCCTCCCTGGCGAGGTGTTCCAGACACGTCCCACCGGGAGGAGGCCCAGAGGAAGACCCAGGACACACTGGAGGGACTATGTTTCTCGGCTGGTCTGGGAACGCCTCGGGATTCCCCCGGAAGAGCTGGCCCAAGTGGCTGGGGAGAGGGAAGTCTGGGCCTCCCTACTTAGGCTGCTACCCCCACGACCCGACCCCGGATAAGCGGAAGAAAATGGATGGATGGATGAATGGATGGATGGATCTATCAAAGTCTGCTCTTACAGTTGGTGTCTCCACCCACCCAGTGGGATTACAGAGCAAGGTGAATTGTTGTGCTTGGTCCTTTGACTCGGCTCGCAAGGATCTTTAAAATAAAATCTACTGGTCATGAGGCATAATCTGAACTGTGAGTGAACCAGTGGGTTGTCTGAAGAAATGAACTGGAAGGGGAAGGGGACAAGGGCAGACATTCAAGTGGTGGGAAATAGGAGAGCGTTAGTGATGATTTACAATCATCAGGTGTTAGAAAGAGGGTGATGACGAGGGAAGAATTTAAAGTCATACTTAAGTTCAAAAAAGGGAATGATATCAAGTGTTAGTCCAGTAGACCTCAGTGTTGAGAAATACGACAGGTGACATAGAGATGGCTAAGGTACTGTGGGACGGGAGTCTTCTTATAAAGTGTAGGAATGTAGAGCAAAAGAACGAGGCAATGAAGCTGCAATATGTGCAAAAAGACAATAATCGAGGAGAGAGTGGTGAACAAAGAGGAGTTGGGGAAGTGATTTCAAGGATCCACATTGGAGAAAATCTGGTTGAGCTCAAACAGCAGCTAAAAGGAGGGAACACTGTGGAGATCAGACATACGTGAAGGAGTAAAAGTTGACAGGAAGTCAGTTTTATTGACATTTAATGAAGTTCTGCCAACAAAAGTGATGGTAGGATATTTGAGCTTTAATGTACGAGAGTACGTTCCTCCTATAAGATGCTTCAAGTGTCAACGTTATGGGCGTACTGCCAATGTATGTAAAGGCAAACAGGTGTGGAAGATGTGGTGGAGAACGTTAAAGTGCTGTAATTGTGGCGGGGATCATACGGCCGCTTATGGAGGGTGTGTTGTGAGGAAGAAAGCTGTAGACATCCAGCAGATAAGAAAGAGCAGAAAATTTAATTTCTGAAGCTGTAAAAATCTGCAAAAGTGATGAGGGGATAGTTCCCATCAAGGAAGGCCCTCTGTAGCAGGTGCACTGGTTCCCACTTCTAACCAAGTGCATCAAGTCGGCTCTGAAATTCCTGTTGATAAGTTAGTGAAGATGTCATAAACTGTTCAGATCAAATTAAGAGTAAAACTGAAAAGATCAAGCTAGTGGTTAAAGCAGCAGAAAAAATTAAAATATACAAAATATTTCATGGGAAAAAAATCCACGCACCTTAGTCAGAATACCTGTGAGCAAACATGTCACCATCTCACTAAATGTTAACACTCCAGTGAAAGTCTAGAAGTTTGTTAGCAAACGGTCAAGAGTTTAAAGGTTTTCTGGAAAATTTAGAAGAGACCAGATGTCGTGTTCAGGAGACGTGGCTTAAACCTTAGACTTCATAATTAAAGGTTCTATAACATTAAGTAAAGATAGACTTCATAATTAAAGGTTCTATAACATTAAGTAAAGTTAGACTTCATAATTAAAGGTTCTATAACATTATGTAAAGTTAGACTTCATATTAAAGGTTCTATAACATTAAGTAAAGTTAGACTTCATAATTAAAGGTTCTATAACATTATGTAAAGTTAGACTTCATAATTAAAGGTTCTATAACATTAAGTAAAGTTAGACTTCATATTAAAGGTTCTATAACATTAAGTAAAGTTAGACTTCATAATTAAAGGTTCAGGCAGGTAAAAAGGACATTAGTCGTCCAGACATGACACAAAAGTGTGAATAATTTTCTCAAGGTCAACTCTGGAGACCAAAGGTCGTATGTTAGAGAAGTTTCTTAAATGAAACAGGAAATATCCCTGATGTGAGACTCGAAGCCTAATGAGTCAAATGTGACTCCTAGATTTTTTACTTTTGATTTGGCTGCTGGGCAGAAAGAGGCAACGCTCCGATTGATCCTAGGTCATATTTATGCAGAAATATAGAAAATGATAAAATAATTCAAACTTTGAAGCACCACCGTGGTTTTATTTCTTTTATGAAAACCATCCAAACTTGCCGGTCAGTCTCTCCCAGCAGTTCATCAGCCACAGGAAAACTTTAAAATAATTCATGTGCAGACCAAAGGAAACGGTTTATTTTTGTGTCTCGCCTTCAGACGCCACATCCTGAAACATCAGCTGCGAGCTCGGTTCATGCTCCATGTTCACAGAAAACTGTTTTTACAAAAGAAACTTTGGATCAGAATAAACCAGCAGCAAACATCTGGACTGAACCTGAAGAACTGAGACCACCTGAACACTTCGAACATGGAGCTGGGAGTAAAAACTGAACTTGGTTTGAAGCAGCAGAACAAAGATCATGAGTATCTGATGGACTTCCTTCAACCTGAACATTGACCTCAAAGCAGGCGAGACGCTGAAACCTTCAGTATCTGCATCTCTTCACGTCCCCTCCTCTAACTGTATCCTTTAGTGGACTCTCTGGGGCGTCCAGGTTGACGGCTGGGTCCTTTCCCTCTGCCTCCTCCTCCTCCTCCACCTCCACCTCTCTTCCTCCGGGGTCCGGCTCGTGGTCCCATGAACCCCCCGCCCTCCTCCCTGCTGGCAGCCTGAGCCCACAGGGCATCGTAGCGGCCGGGCGCCTGGTACCCCGGCTGGTCGCCGTCCAGCGGCTCCCTGGAGAGGAGGATCCAGATGGAGGGCAGGTTCCTGCTGACGGTGAGGCTGTCGAGGCCTCCTGCGGGCTCCAGAGGCTCCCACACCTCCTGCACGGTGCCGTAGGTCAGCTTGGTGACCTGGTGGAGCCCCTTCACTCGCCGCTTCACCACCTCCGCGCATGTGATTGCTTTGGACACGCCTTTCCCAGTGGCGGTGAAGATGATCTGCTTGCAAAGCGGCCGACCTGGCGCCTCCTGTTGTCCTCCTTCAGGTCGGCCCCCCTCCTCCGTCTCCCGTCGGGGGTTGGCCTCCATGCGGTTCAGGGCGAAGCGCAGCAGGTTCCGGATCTTGCTGCCATCTTTAACCCGAACCTCCGGTGTGTCGGAGGCGAGGCCAGAGAACGGACAGACGGACGGTTGCTCCACGACCCGAGCTTTGCTGTAGTTCTCCATCTGCACACATTATTGATTACTGTAAATTTAAATCCATCAATCTGATCAGTGTTCAACACAGATTACAGGTCCTTCTCAAAAAATGAGCATATTGTGATAAAGGTCATTATTTTCCATAATGTCATGATAAAAATGAAACTTTCATATATTTCAGATTCATTGCACACCAACTGAAATATTTCAGGTCTTTAATTGTTTTAATACTGATGATTATGGCATACAGCTCATGAAAACCCAAAACGCCTGTCCCAAAAAATGAGCATATCATGAAAAGGTTCTCTAAACAAGCTATTAACCTAACCATCTGAATCAACGACGTAACTCTAAACACCTGCAAAAGATTCCTGAGGCTTTTAAAAACTCCCAGCCTTGTTCATTACTCAAAACCACAATCATGGGTAAGACTGCCGACCTGACTGCTGTCCAGAAGGCCATCATTGACACCCTCAAGCAAGAGGGTAAGACACAGAAAGAAATTGCTGAACCAATAGGCTGTTCCCAGAGTGCTGTATCAAGGCACCTCAGTGGGAAGTCTGTGGGAAGGGAAAAGTGTGGCAGAAAACGCTGCACAACGAGAAGAGGTGACCGGACCCTGAGGAGGATTGTGGAGAAGGGCCGATTCCAGACCTTGGGGGACCTGCGGAAGCAGTGGACTGAGTCTGGAGTAGAAACATCCAGAGCCACCGTGCACAGGCGTGTGCAGGAAATGTGCTACAGGTGCCGCATTCCCCAGGTCAAGCCACTCTTGAACCAGGAACAGCGGCAGAAGCGCCTGACCTGGGCTACAGAGAAGCAGCACTGGACTGTTGCTCAGTGGTCCAAAGTACTTTTTTCGGATGAAAGCAAATTTTACATGTCATTCAGAAATCAAGGTGCCAGAGTCTGGAGGAAGACTGGGGAGAAGGAAATGCCAAAATGCCAGAAGTCCAGTGTGAAGCACCCACAGTCAGTGATGGTCTGGGGTGTCATGTCAGCTGCTGGTGTTGGTCCACTGTGTTTTATCAAGCGCAGGGTCAATGCAGCGGCTATCAGGAGATTTTGGAGCACTTCATGCTTCCATCTGCTGAAAAGCTTTATGGAGATGAAGATTTCATTTTTCAGCACGACCTGGCACCTGCTCACAGTGCCAAAACCACTGGTAACTGGTTTACTGACCATGGTATTACTGTGCTCAATTGGCCTGCCAACTCTCCTGACCTGAACCCCATAGAGAACCTGTGGGATATTGTGAAGAGAAAGTTGAGAGACCAAGACCCAACACTCTGGATGAGCTTAAGGCCGCTATCGAAGCATCCTGGGCCTCCAGAACACCTCAGCAGTGCCACAGGCTGATTGCCTCCATGCCACGCCGCATTGAAGCAGTCATTCATGCAAAAGGATTCCCGACCAAGTATTGAGTGCATAACTGAACATGATTATTTGAAGGTTGGTGTTTTTGTATTAAAAACACTTGTCTTTCATTGGTGGGATGAAATATGCTAATTTTTTGGGACAGGCATTTTGGGTTTTCATGAGCTGTATGCCATAATCATCAGTATTAAAACAATTAAAGACCTGAAATATTTCAGTTGGTGTGCAATGAATCTGAAATATATGAAAGTTTCATTTTTATCATTACATTATGGAAAATAATGACCTTCATCACAATATGCTCATTTTTTGAGAAGGACCTGTATCTTAGTGTGTCTGTTTGTCAAACACAACAGAAATTGAAGCTTTTAAACTACAACTTCGATCAAAGCACAGTTATTAAATAAACAATATTTATGATTTATTGACTAATTGAAGACGTGAAATCATTACAAAATACCTGAAAGTCATGTTCAGTACACTAAACTTAAACCAGTTTCCTGCAGTAATTTTCATTTTAATCAACTTATATTTTATTACTGCAGCATTTGTTTAATGTAGGATCAAACTTTTTGTTCATTCAGTATTCAATTCAATTATAACTCATTAATACAAGTACAGATACAAATTATCTTTATGTGAATGAACTTCAAGTCTCAATATTCTGATGTTGCTCAATAATCCAAGTAGACAAATCTAATAAATAAAATAAAATAAAACTTGTTGAAAGGTTTCGTCTTTAATCTAAAAGCCTTTGTCAGTGTGAGGAGCTGTAATAGAGTCAGAATAAGCTCAGTGACATTGTAGTTCTGGATGCCAACATCAAACTGGTTGATCCACCGTGAGAAGGTGCTGTTTATAAGACTGAGTTTGTTGAAGCTCCTCAGACTGAAGAAGTCCTTTGGATTAAAGATGAAACATTTCAACAAGTTTTTTTATTTTAATTTTTGAATTGGTCCAGACAGAGGACCTGACTTAACTTTAAGATTTAAGTCTCAGTATTTAATTTAATCCTAAATTTACTAACATTTTAAACTTTACGTCTCTAAACGAACTCTTTAAAAATAAATAAATAAATAAAATGTGTATGAATCATTAGTGATTGTCCATTGTTGTCATGATTCTTTGTTAAATCAGGTCTCTGTTGTAAAGGAGTCCTGGAGGCTCAGTGGGATTCACCTGTAGAAATAAAGGTTGAATAAAAAAACAAACTGATCAGAAAGAGTTTTGTTAGCACACCAAACTCTGTTTCAAAAAATCCAACTTTTCCCAGAATTTCATCAAAACGACAAATTTCTGTTCATATTTAGATTTTACCTCGAAGATTTGAGTTTTAAAAATTGTTCGGCGTTAAAAAAACAAAAAAACACGAGAAGAGGCAGAAATGTTCTCGAAAATTCAACATTTAAACTTAAGTTTGACAGCGAGCTGCAACTATTTCAACACATTTATCAAAACCAGAAGCTTTTAACCAACACGATGCTCATTTTTCAGATATTAAAGTTGTGATTAATCACGTCTGTTCTTACCAACTTCAGATAAAAAAATTAATTCAAGACGAGAATAAACCTTGAACCAAACCACACGGACCGAAAGTTACAGAAACGTGTAATTTATCAGAAAGATAAAACATAATCATGTTGTGTTACAGAGCACACCATAAAACACGAGACATTTCTTACCGTTCTTATATTTTTACTGAGCTCTCCACATGTTTACTTCCACTGCAACGGTTCAAGCTGCCGTAAAACAAGCGCCACTGCCGTAAAATGAGCGCCGCTGCCGTAAAACAAGAACCACTGCCGTAAAACAAGCGCCACTGCCGTAAAACAAGCACCACTGCCGAAAAATGAGCTCTGGTTTGTAGTTCTGAGTCGTTTTGGCTGCTGGTCAGCTATTAATCGAAATTTAAATGAACAATCAAAAACATTTAGATATATTTTAAACATTAAATAAAGTCAGATTATTATTTGTTTATAAAATGCTTCACAATAAAAGTGATGTCAGCACAGGAGCATTATAGAATCTGCCCTTTAGGGTGCTTAGCCCTGTTGCCAATGACTCTTGGCTTGAACAACAGTGGCTACTGGCATTAGAAACAATGAAGGCAGCAGACCAGGAAGTGATTTAAAGATGAAAATGTACCAGTGAGAGAGTCTGTGTGAAGTTAATGGTGACCAGTTAACCAGTGAATACTGGGTGCAGTGGTGGGTACGGTAGTTACAGCCAGTTATGAATCTTAGTGCACCATGATAGACAGCATCCAACATCTGCAGCATCCAACATCTGCAGCATCCAACATCTGCAGGGTTCTTGTATTTCCTAACATTCAGGGTTAGACAGGATCTGGTTCTGAAAAACAAACCCACTTTAACTTGAACTTTCTTTACCAAGTTTTCCACATGGAGCTTAAAAGAGAGATGTGAGTCGACCAAGATACCCAAATATTTATATGAATCAATAAACTCAGTGGGGACACCATTTGAGGATAAAATCAGAGGAAGAACTGCTGGGACCGACTTCCTGTTTGAAAACAACATCCCTTTGGTTTTGTCAGCATTAAGCACCAGTTTGAGATGAAACAAATCTGACTGGATGAGGTTGAAAGTGGACTCTAGAAGCTGGAAAACCTTAGCAACAGTTTTAGCTCGACAATAAACAACTGTATTGTTTTAAACAGAGAACACTGATGACAACAGTAGACAATCATCAAAAACATAATATGAAAACTAAACGGAAGAAATGGTATAAAAACAACAAAAACAGCTATCTTATAAAGCACTATAAAATACTAAAAATTTACTAATAAAAATACTATACCATTTTATTTATAAAGCACTTTTAAACAGCGACGGGGCCAATCAAAGTGCTGTACAAACAGAAACAAACATGCAAAGCACACAGCAACATATAACGTAAAATCAAAATAATATCGGATAATAACATAATGACCAACAGTGTGATGCTGACAGGATCAACACAGATCATACATTGTTGAAAGCCAGGGAATATGTAAAATATCAATTTAAACAAAGCTATTGTTGTGTTGAGTATCGTCTGGTGTCGCAGGCAGTTAGAGGCGTTTCTCCCTTTTAGCATCTTTATTCCAGGTAACACAAAAGATGGCTTCTGAGGCCTACAAGCATTGTCACACATATACATCATGTGATTGCTCATGTGATACAGGTGTGTGGTGAAGTGGCTCATCACATAAACAACTCTCTACCACCACACTGTGCTACAAATAAAACATTACATCTCATACCAACAATTTTCAGTCAGGTCATCTGGACAGTTGTCTTTTTTTGCTGAAACATTTCACCTTCCATCCAGAAGGCTTCATCAGTCAAGGAAACACAACACAAAACTGATTATTCCCCCAAACAGCTTACTCCAAACTGGAACAAACCAGTTATGTTGGTGCTAAGATGGTGTCTTTGGCACACCCCCTCCTCTTGTGCCGGCCCTCTTCCTCGTCCACAGTTATGTCAAACTGGTTCAAAATCAAAAGAAGTTTCAGCAACAACAAAAAATAAACTGTCCAGATGAGCTGACTGAAAATTGTTGGAGTGTATACCTGGATTATTGAGCCTGGACTTCTTTTGGTTACATCTCATAATAAATATTTACAACACACAACACAATCTGAGTACAAACTACTCTCAACAGGATGATTCATGTCGGCCGAAGTTTCGTTTAGTTTGGTTCAGTTAGCTTAGCAGCAGCTAGCAGGAGTTTATGTGTTTAAACTGTTGGTCATTAGACCTTTCCTTTCATCTACGCCACGCGGATGAACGTTTAAAGCCTCGTGGTCCTTCACATCACAGCTCCTCTGAAACGGGAGCACACAGCAGCTGACTGACAGAAAGGAGAGTCAAACTCCCGATCAGGTCTTACTTCTGTGTTTTACACTCACGCTCTTTGTTTCTGTATAAACAGGTAACTCCGTGGAAAAGACGTGACTTTTGAGACGCCTCTCCACCTCTGACTTGAATTTGAACCACGTCAGCTTAGACACGGTGAGTTCACGGACCTGAAGAAATCAGATGAGTGGATGAAAACCGTGATCCTGCTCAGCTTTGAGTCATCAGATGCAATAAGAACTGACTGTGATGCAAACAAGTCTAAAATCAGAATTCTGCGGTTCGCTCCATCCTTCCCTCAGTCAAGAACAAGGACCTGACCCTCGACCCAGTCTGTTCTACTGAACAACAATAATGGAAGATGTTTTTATAAAGACACTTAGAGCTCAGTACTCGTGAACTTTCGTTCAACCTTTATTTCTGCAGGTCAGTCTCGTTGAGCCTCGAGGACTCGTTTACAAGAGACACCTGGTTTAACCAAGAACAGATGAGGAGCAGGCCACGATAGACAATCATATAAAATGAAAGGTACAAAAAAGAAGTGGAATTAAATAAAAAAACAGCTCCATTATAAAACTGTAAGATACTAAAACAGGAACATGTCTGTGCTGGTTTTAGCCATGAACTTAACAGATGTTTTTTAAACATCTGTTAAGTTCCCGTAGAGGTCAAAGTTGAGATCTTCAGATCTTTTTGTAAGGTGATATGTTTTATAAATACTCTTCTGATAAACTAAATCACAGAAGTTATTTTACATGAGACAAAAACTTGAGTAGAATCATGAAGTTTTCTGCTCTTTCTGTTTCTTGGGTTTTGAGTATTAAACGTTATAGAAGTGGAACAAGTTAATCTTTTACAAACAGGCGAGTGATTTTTGAGCCAGTTCTTTTCTCACTGCACCTGAACGCAGCAGTGACGGCTGATCTCCATCACTTGTGTTACAGAGAGTCTCTCGTCCAATCAGAAGCTTCCGCGGCCCGCTACCTGCGCGCTCGGTCGGGTCCGAGGACTCCTGGTTCCACCTGAGCCGCTGGACAAGGAGGAAGAAGAGGGGTGAAGAGGTTTGTTCGGCCGGCCCTTCTCACGGTGACTCAGCAGCTCGGGGGTTTATAACGAGGTGGAGATGCTCGGTGTGTCACCACGGAGACGATGGCCTGGCTCCTCTTCATCACCTGCGTCCTGGTCTGCCTCGAGCCACTGCGGGGGGAAGCCTCAGGTAAACTCACCTGAACACACCGTCTGAGGACAAAAGCTCGGCTTCATCAGGGTTCGGGCCGAGACCAGAACTCTTTCTTCTGACAGCTGCTCAGACTGAGTTAACGTCAGTTCACCTTTTATTCAAACAACAGGTAGACTTAAGTTTGAACAAACTTCAGGAGGTTTCAGATGGTTTTCAGTGACATTAGTTTTACTTTGCCAGAATCTTAAATTGATTTATTTGTTCAAGTTATACCATCATCATCATCATCCTCTCAGGTAATCATCTACAGGTGTGTGTTTACCCTCAGCCAAAGGTGGTTTGTTTAGGAAGATGCCTCACTCTGTACAATCTTGTTCTTATTTCGGCTTTTTCCTCTTCAGGGTCTCCACAGCGAGTCCTCCTCCACCTCACTCTGTCCTCTGTGTCCTCTGTCCTCACTCCAACTACCTCCATGTCCTCTCTAACTGCATCCATATGTCTCCTTTTTGTCTTCTTCCTGGCAGCTGCATTTCTAACATCCTTCTACCAATATACCCACTGTCCCTCCTCTGGACATGTCCAAACCACTGTCCCTCCTGTGGACATGTCCAAACCACTGTCCCTCCTCTGGACATGTGCAAACCACTGTCCCTCCTCTGGACATGTCCAAACCATCTCAGTGTGTCCTCTCTAACTTTATCTCCCAGTTGTTCAGCCTGTGCTGTACCTCTGATGATCTCATTCCTGATCTTCTCCATCCTTGTCACTCCTAAGGAGAACCTCAACATCTTCATTTCTGCTTCCAGTTCTGTCTCCTGTCTTTTTGTCTCTGTCTCCTGTCTTTTTGTCCATGTCTCTGTCTCCTGTCTCTTTGTCCATGTCTCCTGTCTCTTTGTCCATGTCTCTGTCTCCTGTCTCTTTGTCCATGTCTCTGTCTCCAGACCAGACAACAGAGCTAGTCTCACTGTCTTGTGAACTTTTCCTTTGAAAAGTTTCACTTTCTCTCTGTCCAATCTGTTCAACTTTAAAACTCTGACATTTTAATTAATTTTTACTTTGTCTTCTTTAGTCTCTTCCTGAAAATTAATTTAACATTTGAACTTTTTGTTTACAGTAATTAGGACAAAACAAAACAGTTTGAAATAGTTTTTAACTCTTTAAGTTCTGATGAGGTTCTGGTGAACTGTAGGACAGGGACCAAAGAGCCGGTTAGATTGATGTCCAAATCAAGAAGAACGGATTCTCCTGAAAACGATCCATATGAGCCCATCAAGCATTCAGTAGTTTGGTTTCCATGGAAACACACCCAACGTCCGTACTGTTTGATTGACAGCTCATTGAGCCAATAGGAGCCTCCACGTGGTGTTCACTGGGCCCAATGGTCCTGTTGGAAACCCTTCTGAACTGGACCAGGACTGGGTCAAACGTCAGGCTGTGGTTCTGATTGGTTTTCTAACTGATTGTCTCTCATCTCCAGTCATCTGTTTCCAGAAATCAAACAGTGGTTCAAACTTCTGGACCATTTAGACGCAAGACCAGAACCAAACATTTAGTCCAGATGGTTCTGATCCGCTGTTGGGTCGATTTAAAAACAAGAATGTTATAAAAAGAGACACGAACGTGCTGCTTTGTGTCAGAGACGGTCTTTAAAGATGTGATTTAAACGGTTAACGACAGTTCAGAGGCTTAATCCTTCAAAAATAAGATCCAGTTCCGGCAGAAGATCCAGTGATGTTTGAAACCACTCTGAGCTGTAGAACTGGTCCGGTGCTGCACTGCGTCGGTCTGTTTTGAACATTTTGTTGAATAAATAAATCTGGATTCTGTCGTCTTTGTTCACTTGAGGTTAAACTGCAGACGTGAAGGTTCAGTGAGGACTGAACTAGACTAAAGGATCTTCTCCTACTCCGCTCCTGTTTCCTGGAATATTTTACAAAAAGATCTGAAGCTCTCGACCTTTGACCTCTCCAAGTGGCTTCAAACATCTGATAAGTTCCTGATGAAGACAACACAGACATGTTCCTGTTTTTAGTTTTTTACATCTCTTTACAATGTAGCTGTTTTTGTTTTTTTATTTAATTTCTTCTATTTTCTTTACATTTTATATGATTTTTATATGATTGTTCCTCCTGTGCTCTTTGTTAAACCAGGTCTCTCTTGTAAATGAGTCCTCGAGGCTCAATGAGACTCACCTGTAGAAATAAAGGTTGAATGAAAAAACAAACTGCAGGGAAATTTTACTGTTGGCAACAAAACAAAAATTCAATTCAATTCAAAAATACTTTATTAATCCCAGAGGGAAATTATTTGTTGTAGTAACTCGTCATCCTCATTTCATTAAGAGATGTTATAGATGCTGATGCTGTAGACAGGAAGGATCTCTTGTAAAGGTCCATCCCACAGTGGATCCAAAGAAACTGGGTGCAGATGCCGTCCGATCCGCCTCTCGGTTCCTCCGGGCTGTAGGACCGCCTGAATGCTGGGCAGAACTCCTCCCACAGCGATGGCCACTCCTCCCAGCAGTCTGCAGAGCTCCTTGTCACTGCAGACAGCCAACTGTAGGTGCTGAGGGACGATCCTGTCCTTCCTCTGTCATGAGCCAAGTTTCCTGCTAGTTCCAGGATCTCAGTGGTCAGGCACTCGAGCACAGCCGGCAGGTAGATGAGAATGCATCCACAGAACATCCTTTCAACTCATTTGAGATTTGAGGCTGTAGTTGAGATATTATTTCAGCTTTTGAGATGTTAATCAGCTGTTGGTTGTTGTAGAAAACTGCCTTGTTGCCATGGTTACGCATCATAACAAATGTCCAAAACTAAAAATGTTTCAGTAAAAATCCTTCCAGCTGCACAGCATCTGATACCAGAGGAAACAATCATCCAGAAAATGTGATTTACATCCAGAAAAAGAGGAATTAAAGTTTCCAAAAGCAAAATCTCAGAATGAAAGTAGAGCTGCTCCAACATGCTGCCACCTGGAGCGGAGCAGTTCTAGAACATTAGAAAAAGCTGTAACGTCCAGTTTTTTGATGTGCAGTGAATGCATCACAGTGTGGAGGTGGTTGGTTCTGCGATCCAGAACCAGCAGATCTGAAGGATGTCTGGGTTTTCTCCAACAAACTTACGATCTGTTCTTTAGAAACATGTTGAAATGTTTAACTTTATTTATTCTGCTGTTTGTTGCACAAAAATCTAATTTTACTGTCACACGACGTAATGTTTTATTTATATTTCTTCAATTACCGTCTGAGTGAATATCTCCTCCTGCAGCAGCTCGTCCTCCTCACCTGTTCTGACCTTTGACCTGCAGGTCCAGGCAGCTGTGACCTGAGTTTGAGACGACGACTCCACACCGTTGATTCTCCTCCTCTTCCTCAGTGTGAGGAAGATGGCAGCTTCCTCCCCGTTCAGTGTAAATTCATCAACATGACGGACCGCACAGAGATGGACCTGCTGCACTCTTACAACAGGTAACACCCATGACGTGCTCTGTTAGAGTGAAACTCACCTGTTTGGACTCAGAGTTAGGCTCACCTGTGCATGTCTGCGTGTTGTTTCAGTTTCCCAGAAGCCTTTGAGACATTCAGCAGCTTCAGGAAGTTCTTCCCGCTCGTGTCTTCGTACTGTTTCTGTTCGGACAGCCGAGGCAGCGAGCTGCAGAGCACAGGTGAGACCCACACAGCCAGAACTCTCAAACAAACACTCCTCCTGTAGATGTGCTCTCACAGGTGTGCACTTCCTGTCCAGGTGTGGAGCTCCTCCTCTCTGACATGTACGACACGGCCTTCTCCGGTCTTTCGTCCGGTCGCTCCTTCTCTCAGAGCAACGTCTACAGAGTCCTGCAGAGGAGGATGCTGGGAGTTCGCCTCGCCCTCACCGGACGCTTCAGATGTAAACTCACCTGGTTTCAGTCTGCTCTGTTTCCACGGTAAACTGGTTTAAGCCTTTTCGAACCAGTTCTAACGGGTCTGACGGTCCTCTCGTCCCCCAGGTCCGTCTCGCTGTGAGCAGGAGCGTCAGGCGGCGATGGTGTCGGGAGACGTTTTCGTCCCATCCTGTGAAGCCGGCGGCTCGTTTGGACCCAGACAGTGTCAGCAGGGGGGGCCGTGCTGGTGTGTGGACCCCTCAGGGACAGAGGTTCCCGGGACTCGTCAGACCGGAGACTTCCTGGTCTGCAGTGAGTTTCTGTGAAATGTCACCGACAGGCTCTGACTGAAAATAAACCAGGAAGTCTTTTATTTTAAAAATAATTCTTTATAAATTCCTCCTCCAGGTTCTGGTTCTGCTGACTGTCCCTCTCAGCGCCGCCTGGCTCTGTCCCAGCTCTTCTCTGGCTCTGATGGTCCTGTCTCTGAAGTCTCCTCTGGGTCTGCACCTTCCTGTCTCTCCCTCCTCCGTCCTCTTAGGGACCTCCTGCCGGAGGATGTGGATCTGGCCTCCTTCCTGTCTCAGCTGATCGAAGTCCTCCACGGCACCTTCCCCTCAGTGGGCGGAGCTCTGGAGGCTCTGACCCGCTCCTCGCCCAGTCGTCTTCAGGAGAACCTGTTTGGAGGGAAGTTCTTGAAGAACGTGGCGGCTTTTAACTTCAGCGGGTTGGTGGGAGGTCCTGGTCTGGATCAGCTGTCTGCTCAGAGCCTCAGTCTGCAGAGGAACCAGAACCTGGTCCAGTCCATCAGCAAAGCCCTGGAGAACCCCGCCTTCCTGTCCGCCCTCCAACAAACCCTGAAGGATCTCAGCAGCCCCCGCTCTGCCTCCCTGGAGCAGGTCTGGTTTCTTATCATATCTACAAAACACAGAAACACCAGAACCTGAAGACCAGATAAAGAGTCCACCAGGTCCAATCAGATCTTCCTGATGTTTTCCAGGTTCTGACTCCTCTGCTGCGGTCCTGCTCTGATGAAGAGGAGGATCCAGCCTCCTTCTTCATTCCTCGCTGCACGGCCAGCGGCGGTTTCCAGGAAGTCCAGTGTCGTGGTTCGGAGTGCTGGTGCGTCGACCATGAGGGACAGGAAGTGGCCGGGTCTCGAACCATCGGCCGTCCTTCTCGCTGTCCGTCTCGCTGCGAGCGAGCGCTAACGACAGCCCTGAGGAAGAAGTCCAGCATGGCTGCCGGAGCAGTGCTGCACCTCCCGGTGTGCTCCGAGGAAGGAGACTTCCTGCCGCTGCAGTGCGTCGGACCTCGCTGCTTCTGCGTGGACACTGAGGGGACGCCGACCACCGAGCCGACAGAGGGCGGAGTCACATGTAGGATGGACAAAATGTACATTTAAAGCAGTTTAAAAATGGCTGCCGTCAGACCGGTTCATGTTTGTGTTTCAGGTCCGGAGAAGAAAACTCTGAAGCTCCTGTCGTCTGCAGGTCAGAGTCATCCTGAGGGATGTTACTCAGTTTAAACACAGATTACTCCTCCACCTCCTCTTACTGCTCCACCTCCTCTTACTCCTCCACCTCCTCTTACTGCTCCACCTCCTCTTACTCCTCCACCTCCTCTTACTCCTCCACCTCCTCTTACTGCTCCACCTGCTCTTACTGCTCCACCTGCTCTTACTCCTCCACCTCCTCTTACTGCTCCACCTCTTGAATCTAAATGAAGTTGCATAAATTCCCCTCCTGAGTAACAGAACTCAGGTCTGTGTGTTTTCATGGAGGTACGAGGAGTTTGTTGACTGTTTTATTATAATTAAAGCGTTCCTGTCAGCTGATCTCAGATCAGATGTTTGACTTGTTTCAGTTCAAACGTCTCCTGATTTAAAAATCTGGGACGGCTGTCTGTGATTTAAAAGATTTCTCAGTTTTGTCAAACCTTTTACCCTCTGATGTTTGTAAAGTCTTCACCTGTGGATCACCTGTGTCCTTGCAGGCCGCTGCTCCGAGGCGCTCGCTGAGGTCACGGCGTTCAGGCGGGAGCTGAACAGCGTTGTCGCGCTCTCTAACTCCTCCCACCTCCCTCTGGGATACGGGTTCCTGTTGGCTGAAGGTCTGAGTCTGACGCCTGAGGAGCTGCAAATCAGCCAATCAGAGGAGGAGCTGCAGATTTCTGACAGGCTGCTGAGTCGAACCAAGTCTGCGCTGCGATTGGCTGCTTTCTCCAGTGAGTCAACACCGCAGCGCCACCGTGTCGCAGCCATACAATAAAACAGTTTAAAATTTAATATCCGATTTATTTAAACCTTTAACTGAAGGGCTTTTTAATTTATAAACTATTTTAGACAGTTGACTAAAATAATTTACCCTCAGGATATTTCCTCACATGCAGTTTGTTTTGAATCATCTGGAAATAGTTTTTATGTGTTCATTTGATGATGATGATGATGTCCCTCAGCTGTGAAGATGCTGACTCCTCATCGTCGCTCCTACATGCTGTTCATGCCTCAGTGTGAAGCTGATGGAAGCTGGAAGCTCATCCAGTGTTCCTCCAGCTCAGGTCTCACACACACACACACACACACACACACACACACACACACACACACACACACACACACACACA